CCTTATGCACGTTCCCGAAAAAAGTGGCGGCAAGAGGAATTCAGAGGGAAGGGAGGCTAACACACGTCCTCTCCCTCTGCGTTCCTCTTGCCATGGCTTGTCTCAGGAAAATTGTGGCAGGTTCCGATGGGAAGCGTCTTCCACTGGGAAGGTGAAAGCCACTTCATAGCAACACTTACAGAACTTTCCTGAGACAAGCCATGGCAAGAGGAATGCAGGGGGAGAAGTGTGTTGGCCTCCCTTTCCTCTGAAATCCTTTTGCTGCCACTTGTTTTGGGAAAGTGCATAGGGCCAAGAAAAGAGAACACTTTTATTCCCGAAAAAAAGTGGCAGCAAGAGGAATTCAGAAGGAAGGGAGGCCAACACACTTCCTCTCCCTCTGTGTTCCTCTTGCCATGGCTTGTCTCAGGAAAAGTGCGGCAGGTTCCATTGGGAAGCGCCTTCCACTGGGAAGGTGATGACCACCTCATAGCAACACTTAAGGCACTTTTCCGAGACAAGCCATGGCAAGAGGAATGCAGGGGGAGAAGTGTGTTGGACTCCCTTCCCTCTGAATTCCTTTTGCCGTCACTTGTTTTGGGAAAGTGCATAGGGCCAAGAAAAAATACCATTACCTTCCTAGCCATGAGGTTGGACTGGGCGCCTCGTTCGCCCCATGGCTGTCCATTAGCATACTTAGGAAGGACACGGTCACTTTTCTCAACTCCGAGCACTTTCCTGCTACATGTGGCAATTAGAGAGATTCAGTGGAATTGGAGGCTGGCATGCTCCCTCTCCCTCTGCATTACCTCTTGCCATGGCTTGTCTCAGGGAACGTGCGGAAGGTTCCGTTGGGAAGCGCCTTCCACTGGGAAGGTGATGGCCACTTCATAGCAACACTTACAGCACTTTCCCGAGACAAGCCATGGCAAGAGGAATGCAGGGTGAGAAGAAGTGTGTTGGCCTCCCTTCCCTCTGAATTCCTTTTGCCGTCACTTGTTTCGGGAAAGTGCATAGGGCCAAGAAAAGAGAACATTTCCTTCCTAGCCATGAGGTTGGACTGGGCGCCTTGTTCGCCCCATGGCTGTCCATCAGCATACTTAGGAAGGACACGGTCACTTTTCTCAATTCTGAGCACTTTCCTGCTACATGTGGCAATTAGAGAAATTCAGTGGAATTGGAGGCTGGCATGCTCCCTCTCCCTCTGCATTACCTCTTGCCATGGCTTGTCTCAGGGAACGTGTGGAAGGTTCCGTTGGGAAGCGCCTTCCACTGGGAAGGTGATGGCCACTTCATAGCAACACTTACAGCACTTTCCCGAGACAAGCCATGGCAAGAGGAATGCAGGGTGAGAAGTGTGTTGGCCTCCCTTCCCTCTGAATTCCTTTTGCCGTCACTTGTTTCGGGAAAGTGCATAGGGCCAAGAAAAGAGAACATTTCCTTCCTAGCCATGAGGTTGGACTGGGCGCCTTGTTCACCCCATGGCTGTCCATCAGCATACTTAGGAAGGACACGGTCACTTTTCTCATCTCTGAGCACTTTTCCTGCTACATGTGGCAATTAGAGAGATTCAGTGGAATTGGAGGCTGGCATGCTCCCTCTCCCTCTGCGTTCCTCTTGCCATGGCTTGTCTCAGGGAACGTGCAGCAGGTTACGTTGGGAAGCGCCTTCCACTGGGATGGTGAAGGCCACTTCATAGCAACACTTACAGCACTTTCCCGAGACAAGCCATGGCAAGAGGAATGCAGGGTGAGAAGAAGTGTGTTGGCCTCCCTTCCATCTGAATTCCTCTCACCACCACTTGTTTTGAGAAAGTGCATAGGGTCAAGAAAAGAGAACATTTCCTTCTTAGCCATGAGGTTGGACTGGGCGCCTCATTCCCCCCATGGCAGTCCATCAGCATACTTCCGAACGACATGGTCGCTTTTCTCAGCTCCGAGCACTTTCCTGGTGCAAGTGGAAATTAGAGAGATTCAGTGGGATTGGAGGCTGACATGCTCCCTCTGCATTCCTCTTGCCGCTGCTTGTCTCAGGAAAGTACAGTAAGTGCCATTATTAATGGCTGCCTCCTTTCTACCTATTAGGTCAGACCTGGCATACCCCTCTCCCCGCGACATAGCTAGGAAGGAGTTGGCTGCTTCTTAATGGCACTCAAGGCACTTTCCTAAGACCAGTACCGGAAAAAGGAGTGCAGAGGACACATGTCAAGCTCCAATCCCACTGAATTCCTCTTGTCGCCACTTGTCCTCGTAAAGTGGTCATGGCCGAAAAAAGCAAATGTCTCCTTCCTAGCTATGTGATTGGACGGTCACAGGGAGAGAAGGGGTCGCCCAGTCCAACCTCGCGGCTAGGAAGGAAATGGTCTCTTTTTTCAGACTCTATGCACTTTCCCGACACAAGCCGCGGCAAAAGGAATTCAGAGGGAAGAGAGGCCAACACACTTCCTCTCCTCCTGCATTCCTCTTGCCACGGCTTGTCTAGGGAAAGTGCTGTAAGTGTTGTTAGAAAGTGGTCATCTCCTTTCTGGTGGAAGGCGCCTCATAACGACACCTACGGCACTTTCCTGAGACAAACAGCGACAAGAGGAATGCAGAGGGAAGGGAGGCCAACACACTTCCTCTCCTCCTGCATTCCTCTTGCCACCGCTTGACTCGGGAAAGTGCCGTAAGTGCTGATAGAAAGTGGCCATCTCCTTCCTAGAGGAAGGTGCTTCATAAAGGCACCTGTGGCACTTTCCCATGACAAACAGCGGCAAGAGGAATGCAGAGGAAAGGGAAGCCAACACACTTCCTCTCCCCCTGCATTCCTCTTGCCACGGCTTGTCTTGGCAAAGTACCACAAGTGCTGTTAGAAAGTGGCCATCTCCTTTTTGGTGGAAGGCGCTTCATAACGGCACCTACAGCACTTTCCCAGGAAAACAGCGGCAAGAGGTATCCAGAGAAAGGGAAGCCAACACACTTCCTCTCCCCCTGCATTCCTCTTGCCACGGCTTGTCTTGGCAAAGTACCACAAGTGCTGTTAGAAAGTGGCCATCTCCTTTTTGGTGGAAGGCGCTTCATAACGGCACCTACAGCACTTTCCCAGGAAAACAGCGGCAAGAGGTATCCAGAGAAAGGGAAGCCAACACACTTCCTCTCCCCCTGCATTCCTCTTGCCATGGCTTGTCTTGGCAAAGTGCCACACGTGCTGTTAGAAAGTGGCCATCTCCTTTCTGGGTGGAAGGCAGCTTCATAACGACACCTACGGCACTTTCCTGAGACAAACAGCGACAAGAGGAATGCAGAGGGAAGGGAGGCAAACACACTTCCTCTCCTCCTGCATTCCTCTTGCCACCGCTTGACTCGGGAAAGTGCCGTAAGTGCTGATAGAAAGTGGCCATCTCCTTCCTAGAGGAAGGTGCTTCATAAAGGCACCTGTGGCACTTTCCCATGACAAACAAGCGGCAAGAGGAATGCAGAGGAAAGGGAAGCCAACACACTTCCTCTCCCCCTGCATTCCTCTTGCCACGGCTTGTCTTGGCAAAGTACCACAAGTGCTGTTAGAAAGTGGCCATCTCCTTTTTGGTGGAAGGCGCTTCATAACGGCACCTACAGCACTTTCCAGGAAAACAGCGGCAAGAGGTATCCAGAGAAAGGGAAGCCAACACACTTCCTCTCCCCCTGCATTCCTCTTGCCACGGCTTGTCTTGGCAAAGTACCACAAGTGCTGTTAGAAAGTGGCCATCTCCTTTTTGGTGGAAGGCGCTTCATAACGGCACCTACAGCACTTTCCCAGGAAAACAGCGGCAAGAGGTATCCAGAGAAAGGGAAGCCAACACACTTCCTCTCCCCCTGCATTCCTCTTGCCATGGCTTGTCTTGGCAAAGTGCCACACGTGCTGTTAGAAAGTGGCCATCTCCTTTTTGGTGGAAGGCGCTTCATAACGGCACCTACAGCACTTTCCCGAAACAAACAGCGGCAAGAGGAATGCAGAGGAAAGGGAAGCCAACACACTTCCTCTCCCCTGCATTCCTCTTGCCATGGCTTGTCTCAGGAAAGTGCCACAAGTGATGTTAGAAAGTGGCCATCTCCTTTCTGGGGGAAGGCGCTTCATAACGACACCTACAACACTTTCCCGTGACAAACAGCGGCAAGAGGAATGCAGAGGAAATGGAAGCCAACACACTTCCTCTCCCTCTGCATTCCTCCTCAGGAAAGTGCCACAAGTGCTGTTAGAAAGTGTCCATCTCCTTTCTGGTGGAAGGCGCTTCATAATGACACCTACAGCACTTTCCCGAAAACAGCGGCAAGAGGAACATAGAGGCAGGGAGGTGTCAGAATCCTGTCCCCCTGAATTTCTCTTGCCACCGCTTGTCTCGGAAAAGTGCTCGAAGCTGAAAAAAGCCACCTCCTCCTTCCTCGCTATGTTGTCAGACAACCACAGTATAATGGGGGGGGCACCCAGTCCCATCCAACCTCATAGGAAGCAACTATCGACATGAGACAAAGAAGGACAGAACAGCAGAAAAAACACCCCTGTGTCTTCCATACAAGAATTATTCAGTCCTTGTACCCATTATTTTCAGCCACGGTAACAATATCCTAAATTTCTCCAACAAAAATGAGAATTTCTTTCCAAATTTCTTCTACGTCACATACTAATCCAGACTGAGGTTCCTCGATGAAAACGTGACGATACTTTGTAACACAATTCTGAGCCATCTCCACCTTCTGAACCTTCTGTAACATTCATTGGTCCTTATTAATGTCAGGTCCTTGACTTGCTTTGGTCCAACATTGCCAGCAGACCACCAAGCCCTGAAGGGAGGTCAGGCCTTGTCCAGAGGCCCGCCATATCGTTCTTTGCAGAAAAGACTGGGCACTCTTCCTGGGCTTTGACAGTAGGAATGGAAATTTGCCGTGCAGGTCTCCAAGATGCGTAAATCAAACTCGAAAGAGAAGTGCCACTGATTGGCGCCTTAAAGAGTTGGCAAGGAGGGAGTAGGGGGTGACAGCAGAGGGGCATCTTGGGGCCTGAAGAGCTTAGTGTACTCTGGGAATGGGGTATAACAAGCTCATATGCTCAGCTCCCTTGAAGGGTAACTTTTGGCTGGAGTAGTAGTGGACGACCTCTGGGATGCTGCAAAAAACGCCGCTGGTCTGGTTCAAGGTGAACTTGTTGTCCTTGGTTTGCGCCACGATGATGTGAACGCAGCCCTGGCTGGTCCTGCAAGGAGAAAGGTTTACAGTAATGAAATAAGAGGGATCGTCAGAGGAAAACAAAGATCGATGCTGCCGGCGATTTATTTTTGGAGGTGCAAATGCTTTTATGCTTCACTGCCTGGTGAGTCAATGGCCTCAGGCAAGCATGCAGACAGTGAAAGTGCAATTGCTGATCTGCATACAGCCAGACGCTCATTAAATAATGAAGCAAGGATGGAAACTAACTCTGGAGCCTCTTTAAAAAAAAAAAAAGTTGGAAGTTGTTATCTTGACAGGATCCCATTAAAGTGGATGCTGTACTCACAGCTTTGGTATCCACCTTGAGAAGATTGGAGACTCAACAGGCCCTCTTCGAACTGGCTCTACAGCCAATGGGAAGTAGAGAAAACCTTAATATGGAACATTACAACAAACCCGTCACAAGGTTCCCATCCAGGCTGTGGGCTGCCATTGATGATGGCATTCCTGGAGATGGTGCTAGCCCCCCCCTGAGATGGTACTTCGGCGCATGTGAGCCCTTCCAAGAAAATAGCTGCCCTTCAGAAGCAGAAGAGACTTAGGTGGGCTTAAAGGATGACTAGAGCTTAGGGTGGGTGTGTTGGGTAGGAGCAGAAGGGACTTAGGTGGGCTTAAAGGATGACTAGAGCTTAGGGTGGGTGTGTTGGGTAGGAGCAGAAGGGACTTAGGTGGGCTTAAAGGATGACTAGAGCTTAGGGTGGGTGTGTTGGGTAGGAGCAGAAGGGACTTAGGTGGACTTAAAGGATGACTAGAGCTTAGGGTGGGTGTGTTGGGTTGGAGCAGAAGGAACTTAGGTGGGCTTAAAGGATGACTGGAGCTTAGGGTGGGTGTGTTGGGTAGGAGCAGAAGGGACTTAGGTGGGCTTAAAGGATGACTAGAGCTTAGGGTGGGTGTGTTGGGTAGGAGCAGAAGGGACTTAGGCGGGCTTAAAGGATGACTAGAGCTTAGGGTGGGTGTGTTGGACAGGAGCAGAAGGGACTAAGGCGGGCTTAAAGGATGACTAGAGCTTCGGGTGGGTGTGTTGGATAGGAGCAGAAGGGACTTAGGTGGGCTTAAAGGATGACTAGAGCTTAGGGTGGGTGTGTTGGGTAGGAGCAGAAGGAACGTAGGTGGGCTTAAAGGATGACTGGAGCTTAAAGTGGGTGTGTTGAGTAGGAGCAGAAAAGACTTAGGTGGGCTTAAAGGATGACTAGAGCTTCAGGTGGGTGTGTTGGGTAGGAGCAGAAGGGACTTAGGTGGGCTTAAAGGGTGACTAGAGCTTCGGGTGGGTGTGTTGGGTAGGAGCAGAAGGGACATAGGTGGGCTTAAAGGATGACTAGAGCTTAGGGTGGGTGTGTTGGGTAGGAGCAGAAGGGACTTAGGTGGGCTTAAAGGGTGACTAGAGCTTAGGGTGGGTGTGTTGGGTAGGAGCAGAAGGGACTAAGGTGGGCTTAAAGGATGACTAGAGCTTCGGGTGGGTGTGTTGGGTAGGAGCAGAAGGGACTTAGGTGGTCTTAAAGGATGACTAGAGCTTAGGGTAGGTGTGTTGGATAGGAGCAGAAGGAACTAAGGTGGGCTTAAAGGATGACTAGAGCTTCGGGTGGGTGTGTTGGGTAGGAGCAGAAGGGACTTAGGTGGACCTAAAGGATGACTAGAGCTTAGGGTGGGTGTGTTGGGTAGGAGCAGAAGGAACTAAGGTGGGCTTAAAGGATGACTAGAGCTTCGGGTGGGTGTGTTGGGTAGGAGCAGAAGGGACTTAGGTGGACCTAAAGGATGACTAGAGCTTAAGGGTGTGTGTTGGGTAGGAGCAGAAAGGACTTAGGCGGGCTTAAAGGGTGACTAGAGCTTAGGGTGGGTGTGTTGGGAAGGAGCAGAAGGGACTTAGGTGAACTTAAAGGATGACTAGAGCTTAGGGTGGGTGTATTGGGTAGAAGCAGAAAGGACTTAGGTGGGCTTAAAGGATGACTAGAGCTTAGGGTGGGTGTGTTGGGTAGGAGCAGAAGGGACTTAGGTGGACCTAAAGGATGACTAGAGCTTCGGGTGGGTGTCAGAAGTCTTCAGAAGTATTCTAGTATGGAAGTGAGGCAGTGAAGGTGAGCCTTCAAGCACAGAAGAGTGTTGTCACCCTCCTTATGGCAGACTGCCATGTAGCACAGTAGGGATTGGGGGTGGGGTGGTGAATTACTACTCACTTGAGAGCGATGGAGTATTTGCTGTTCCCTGATTCGCTGTTCCGCAGTAGGTAGCTGGCCTCACGACAGGACTGCAGCCTGCTCTCCGCCTCTGCTCGGGTCACCGAACCGTGATACCAGCTGTGATCAGAAAACAGAACAAGGGTCACCTAACAGGCTGCGGAGGAGACCGGAGCATCACCTAACGGTCAACCAATGTCAGTTGTGGGTGGAGAACCTGCGATAAAAGCAGGTGGAGCTCATGCTCAACTCCGACCAACCACCAATGGACGAGAACGGTTCTCAATCAAAGATCCGGGACTAAAATTCGCTGGCCGACGCATATCAAGACAATAATAAATCCCCCCCCCGTGTACCAGAATATTTCACTCATTGAGTCATTCATTTGTGTGTTATTCTTTGTTAAAATTACTTTTTTTATTTTTAACTTTTTATTATTAATTTTTTATTTTTATTGTTTTTCTTTTCTTTTTTAAATACATTTTTGATCGGCTATTTATGCTATGCAGTGCATTGGGACAACCATTACCTTTCGATCGTTTTGTATTTTCATCGACTATTATATCTTTTTTTCTCATTTATGTAATTATGAATCTGATATTACTTTATATCATGACATTCACATCTCATGCAAAAACCACAATAATAATCAGAAGGGCAAAATATTCCTCTGTTACCAAACGGATGGAGTCATTCCACTTTACAGCGTGATCAGAATAATCGAAGGGTCTACAGAAATCAAGGCAAGAAATGACAAAATGTGGTATTGCCATGGATTTGTGTGGACCCCCAGAATAAGAAGACCCAGCTCTTCACCAGGGACGCCAGTAGAACATGACCCAGCTCTTCACCAGGGACCCCAGTGGAAGATGATCAAGCTCTTCACCAGGGACCCCAGTGGAACATGACCCAGCGCTTCACCAGGGTCCCCCAGTGGTAGATGACCCAACTCTTCACCAGGGATCCCAGTGGAAGATGATCAAGCTCTTCACCAGGGACCCCAGTGGTAGATGACCCAACTCTTCACCAGGGATCCCAGTGGAAGATGATCAAGCTCTTCACCAGGGATCCCAGTGGAAGATGATCAAGCTCTTCACCAGGTGCCCCAGTGGAAGATGACCCAGCTCTTCACCAGGGATCCCAGTGGAAGATGATAAAGCTCTTCACCAGGGATCCCAGTGGAAGATGACCCAGCGCTTCCCCAGGGACCCCCAGTGGTGGATGACCCAGCTCTTCACCAGGGACCCCAGTGGAAGATGACCCAGCTCTTCACCAGGGACCCCCAGTGGAAAAAGACCCAGCTCTTCACCAGGGTCCCTCCAGTTGAAGATGACCCAACTCTTCACCAGGAATCCCAGTGGAACATGATCAAGCTCTTCACCAGGTACCCCAGTGGAACATGACTAAGCACTTCACCAGGGTCCCCCAGTGGAAGATGACCCAACTCTTCACCAGGGATCCCAGTGGAAGATGATAAAGCTCTTCACCAGGGACCCCAGTGGAAGATGACCCAGCGCTTCCCCAGGGACCCCCAGTGGTGGATGACCCAGCTCTTCACCAGGGACCCCAGTGGAAGATGGCCCAGCTCTTCACCAAGGACCCTAAGTGGAAAAAGACCCAGCTCTTCACCAGGGTCCCTCCAGTGGAAGATGACCCAACTCTTCACCAGGGATCCCATTGGAAGATGACCCAGCTCTTCACCAGGGACTCCCAATGGAAGAAGACCCAGGTCTTCACCAGGGTCCCTCCAGTGGAAGATGACCCAACTCTTCACCAGGGGCCCCCAGTGGAAGATGACCCAGCTCTTCCCCAGGGACACTCAGTGGAAGACTACCCAGCTCTTCACAAGGGACTTCCAGTGGGAGACAATCCAGGTATTCACCAGGAACCTCCAGCAGAAGAAGACTCGGGTCTTCACCAGGGAACCCAGAGGAAGATAACCCAGCTCTTCACCAGGGACCCATAGTGGAAGACGACCCAGCTCTTCACCAGGAACTCCAGTGGTAGATGACCCAGCTCTTCATCAGGGACACCCAGTGGAAGACAACCCAGCTCTTCACTAGGTACCCCCAGTGGTAGACGACCCAGCTCTTCACTAGGGTCCCCCAGCTCTGGTACAGTATTGTTCCACCTATAGTCGATGGTGGTATATATCTAAAGTGTATTTGTCATCTGTGTCAACAATAAAGCTCCATGATCTAGCCTAAGGTACAAATTATAGGAGTGGAGCATCATCCTCAGGGTTGGAGCATCTAGATGTCTGACCCCTGGTGAGCGGGACCAAAACCACAGAGGTCCGCAGTATATATTTCATCTATAGTAAATGGTAGAGGAAGTCTAGAGAGATTCTCCTATCACCAAAGCCCCGGTATCTATCCTGACATAAAATGAATAGTGGATCAGCTGATTCTGCAAATGCGATGCAAACACACCTCTGCTTCTCTAGTGGGACGGTCGGGTCCACCTTGTCCATCTGCTCGGCCTGAGGCTGCTTCAAGACTTTGGCTGTCCAGCTCTTCTGGCGCTGGTGCAGTCGTCCTCCTTCCTCCTTGGCCTGTGAACGCTCACTGTTCTCAAACTGCACTGTGGAGTGGAGAAAGGAAAGAAGATGGTAAGGTGGGTCGTGGTACAAAGATCTTGCTGGAAAACCAAAGTTAACGAATGTCCCTTCATCAGGAAACATTTCCTATGTTTTGGCTGAGGGAATAAGATTAGAAAACGTTGGTGATACTTTAATCTACGAGAGTTTAGCAGCATTGGGACATATTTATACGACTATACCGAGGGACACCAGGGGTGTTGCCATGCCCTGTCCCCCAGGGCACATGCCCCAGGTCTTCTACTGAGGGCCTCCTTTGAAATACGAAGATGATACATTCTACGCATTGTATTGTATATTTTATCTACTTTTCAGTCCATCCATTACCTATATCGTCATCTTGGTCTTAGATTTGATCCAAAGTGGTCATCATGGTATCATACCATCCCCTCAACATTTTCCAAAGTGGCCCTTATGGTATCCTACCATCCCCTCAACATTTTCCAAAGTGGTCATCATGGTATCCTCCCATCCACTCAACATTTTCCAAAGTGGTCCTCATAGTATTTTACCATCCCCTCAACATTTTCCAAAGTGGTCCTCATGGTATCCTACCATCCCCTCAACATTTTCCAAAGTGGTCCTCATGGTATCCTACCATCCTCTCAACATTTTCCAAAGTGGTCATCATGGTATCCTACCATCCCCTCAACATTTTCCAAAGTGGTCCTCATGGTATCCTACCATCCTCTCAAATTTTCCAAAGTGGCCGTCATGGTATCCTACCATCCCCTCAACATTTTCCAAAGTGGTCCTCATGGTATCCTACCATCCCCTCAACATTTTCCAAAGTGGTCATCATGGTATCCTACCATCCCCTCAACATTTTCCAAAGTGGTCCTCATGGTATCCTACCATCCCCTCAACATTTTCCAAAGTGGTCCTCATGGTATCCTACCATCCCTTCAACATTTTCCAAAGTGGTCCCACGTATCCTACCATTCAACATTTTCCAAAGTGGTCATCATGGTATCCTACCATCCCCTCAACATTTTCCAAAGTGGTCATCATGGTATCCTACCATCCCCTCAACATTTTCCAAAGTGGTCATCATGGTATCCTACCATCCCCTCAACATTTTCCAAAGTGGCCGTCATGGTATCCTACCATCCCCTCAACATTTTCCAAAGTGGTCATCATGGTATCCTACCATCCCCTCAACATTTTCCAAAGTGGTCCTCATGGTATCCTACCATCCCTTCAACATTTTCCAAAGTGGTCACCACGTATCCTACCATCCCCTCAACATTTTCCAAAGTGGTCATCATGGTATCCTACCATCCCCTCAACATTTTCCAAAGTGGTATCCTACCATCCCCTCAACATTTTCAGTGGTAATCATGGTATCCTACCATCCCCCCTCAAAACATGGTTTTCCCCTCCAAAGTGGTCATCATGGTATCCTACCATCCCCTCAACATTTTCCAAAGTGGTCAAGTGGTATCCTACCATCCCCTCAACATTTTCCAAAGTGGTCATCATGGTATCCTACCATCCCCTCAACATTTTCCAAAGTGGTCCGTCATGGTATCCTACCATCCCCTCAACATTTTCCAAAGTGGTCCTCATGGGTCAACATTTTCCAAAGTGGTCATCATGGTATCCTACCATCCCCTCAACATTTTCCAAAGTGGTCATCATGGTATCCTACCATCCCCTCAACATTTTCCAAAGTGGTCATCATGGTATCCTACCATCCCCTAACATTTTCCAAAGTGGGTATCCTACCATCCCCTCAACATTTTCAAAGTGGTCATCATGGTATCCTACCATCCCCTCAACATTTTCCAAAGTGGTCATCATGGTATCCTACCATCCCCTCAACCCACGTATCCTCCCCTCAACATTTTCCAAAGTGGTCATCATGGTATCCTACCATCCCCTCAACATTTTCCAAAGTGGTCATCATGGTATCCTACCACTCAACATTTTTTTACCATCCCCTCAAATTTTCCAAAGTGGTCATCATGGTATCCTACCATCCCCTCAACATTTTGGTATCCTACCATCCCCTCAACATTTTCCAAAGTGGTCCTCGTGGTATCCTACCATCCCCCTCAACATTTTCCAAAGTGGTCCTCGTGGTATCCTACCATCCCCTCAACATTTTCCAAAACATTTTCCAAAGTGGTATCCTACCATCCCCTCAACATTTTCCAAAGTGGTCATCATGGTATCCTACCATCCCCTCAACATTTTCCAAAGTGGTCCTCGTGGTATCCTACCATCCCCTCAACATTTTCCAAAGTGGTCATCATGGTATCCTACCATCTCCTCATCATTTTCCAAAGTGGTCCTCATGGTATCCTACCATCCCCTCAACATTTTCCAAAGTGGTCATCGTGGTATCCTACCATCCCCTCAACATTTTCCAAAGTGGTCCTCATGGTATCCTACCATCCTACCATCCCCTCAACATTTTCCAAAGTGGTCATCATGGTATCCTACCATCCCCTCAACATTTTCCAAAGTGGTCATCATGGTATCCATCATTTTCCAAAGTGGTCCTCATGGTATCCTACCATCCCCTCAACATTTTCCAAAGTGGTCATCATGGTATCCTACCATCCCCTCAACATTTTCATCTTTGTGCACAGAGGTGTCCCTGGTACTGATCATGTAGCTAATAAATTTTGGATGATACCAGGTTGCCGGTTGGATCTTACTTTGGATTCTGATTTTTGTATACTGACAGTGGAGACGTCAAACCCCTGTATGGGATCTCTGTGTTGGTGTCCCTGGTCTATTAGGCCCCTAGAAACTCTCTTTTGGGCCAACACTGGAGGAAGGAAAGAAAGCAAAGTACAAATCACCCCGAAGAAGCTGGCAAATCACGTCAGGTCCTCTCAGAAGGGTGTTGTCTACTTCTGTCCACCAACTTTAGCCTTTTACACCTCGTTGCTCACCTGAAAGCGCCCGCACTATGTGCTCCTTCTTCCATTCCCAGGGCTGCTCGTACTCTCCCGCCGGCCTTTCGTCATTCTCCGGTCGGGTCCCATCGGCCGCCCGCTGGGCTTTCTTCTCCTCTGAATCTTGCTCATTGTCAGGGGGCTCATAGGGGGTGTCGTACAGCTGAGGGGGTTTGACGAGGAGCTCCTGGGACCCCTGCCTCTTGGCCTCTGCCTTGCTCTCATTTGGGGACGTCAGCTCCATGAGGAGCAGTTCGGTGATCAGCTGGTCTTTGGACCCTCCACGACGAATCTCTGAAAGACATTGAGGATGAGATAACAGGTCATCATGGCCACATGCCCTCCATGGTGTACAGTTTTTTTGAGAAGCACATTTGGGGGGGGCTCTGGATAGGGTTCCACATTTTATTAGTTTTTGATATAGTAGGGTGCTTGGTATAGTCCCCATTGGGAGATTCCATTTTAAAATGTTGCCACCATGGCAGGAAGCGAGATGAAATAGAGATACAGCAATAGGAACCCAATGAAGGAGTTTATTCTATTGATGTTAGAGAGATTTCCCCTCACTTCCTATTCTAGTGACCACACAGGATGTAGAGGAAAATCTCCACCAATGGGGACACAGAAAAAAAAAACTAACAGAGGTTCTACCTTCTCCTGCCTCCTTGATGAAAGGTGTTTTATTGTCCTTGGAGAAAGACGTCCTCACTTCCTGTTCTGGTGACCACACAGGAAGTGAGGGGAAATCCTCCAGAATGAACACACACCCAAAATGTAACCTGAAGAATATTTAGACCCTTCCACGCATGACTGGATCTAGGGTGGGGGGGGGGGGGTTGGGGTGGTCTGTGGCCCTCCAGATTTCAGCTGCGACCCCTCCCCCCATCCAGCTCTCTGAGAGTGCATCTACTGATCCATGAGCCAGTCTGATGGGGGCCATATATGGGAGCACTCTGATGCAGATAGATGATGTAAGGGGGAACGCTGATGCAGATAGATGATGTAAGAAGGCACTCTGATTCGGACACCTGATGTAAGGGGGCACTCTGATGGGGATACCTGATGTAAGGGGGCACTCTGATAGGGACACCTGATGTAAGGGGGCACTCTGATGGGGACACCTGATGTAAGGGGGCACTCTGATGGGGACACCTGTTGTAAAGGGGCACTCTGATGGGGACAGTCCATGTAAGGGGCACTCTGATGGGGATACCTGATGTAAAGGGGCACTTTGATGGGGACACCTAATGTAAGGGGGTACTCTGATGGGACACCTTATATAAGGGGGCACTCTGATAAAGACACCTGATGTAAAGGGGCACTCCGATGAACACACCTGATGTAAGGGAGCACTCTGATGGGAACACCCGATGTAAGGGGACACTCTGATGAAGTCATCTGATATAGGGGGGCACACTGATGGGGACACATGATGTAAGGGGGCACTCTGTTGGGGATACCTGATGTAAGGGGGCACTCTGATGGGGACACATGATGTAAGGGGGCACTCTGATGAAGACACCTGATGTAAGGAGGCACTCTGATTGGTACAGTCCACATAAGGGGGCACTCTGATGGGGATACCTGATGTAAGGGGGCACTCTGATGACGACCCTGATACAAGGGGGCACTCTGATGGGGACACCTGATGTAAAGGGGCACTCTGATGAAGACACTTGATGCAAGGAGGCACTCTGATTGGGACAGTACATGTAAAGAGGCACTCTGATGGGGACACCTGATGTAAGGGGGCACTCTGATTGGGACTTGTGATGTAAGGGGGAACTCAGATAGGGACACCTGATAAGAGGGAGACTGATGGGGACCCTGATGTAAGGAGGCACTCTTATTGGGACAGTCCATGTAAGGGGGCACTCTGATGAAGACACCTGATGTATGGGGGCACTCCGATGGGGACTTCTGATGTAGGGGGGCACTCTAATTATTACATCTGATATAAGGGAGCACTCTGTTGGGAATCATGATGTAGGGGGGACTCTGGTTGGGGTCTAATGCAGGATGAGCATGCAGATATGGAACTTTTCTCCAACTTTCCTGACTACTTGCTCCAGATCTCACAATATATTGAAGTCAAGGGATCAACATGACAGCCATTAAACAGGCATTCTCAGAAGGAAGCCAGTAATGGCAGCCCCCCCGATATTTGTCCCAGGACAGATTCATTCTAAATTTTCATACGGAGGGTGCCATCGCAGACTTCCTCCTGAAGACGGTAAATTCCCATCCATCATGCTGATCCTCAGGCTTCAGTAAGGTCAGTGACCCCAAGCAGCCAGAGGGAGTTCCTCATCTCTATACTCATTCCAAGTCCCTTTGTGGGAAGGGGGGTACGCACCAGAGATGGATCAGCGGAGGACAGAGATGTCACCCCCCCTTCCTGGCCCATCGCTCAGACACCTGGCTGTCCCATTCTCCTGGCGCCATGGCAACGGGGCCCATCCTGTTGGCTGCCAAGGCGTCTTTCCTGTCCGTGGAACGAGCCGTCCAGCAGAGGAAGCCGCACTGAGAGCCAGGAAGCCGACACGGGAAGTCACACCCAGGAGCTGGAGAAAGACGGGGGTCTAGAGCTTGGACAGGACCCCATACAGGGGGACCGCGAGGACCGCGAGGACCGCGGAACGATGCGGAGAAATGCCGGCTCTGAGTCCGTATAGAACGTCATTACCGGCGGTAGAAGATTGGATTGTATCAATGTGTAGCTCTTGAAGAACAATTCACACGTTTCTGGAAAATGCAACAAAGTATCTCCCGGTCAGGGGCGGATTGACTACTCATGGGGCCCTTGGGCAATAGGGGATCATGGGGCCCCTGTATCCTTGCCCAAACTCAAAAAAGCCTATGAAAAAGGTACCAGGGGCATCTCATGGGGCCCCCTACTGACCCCGGTGTGCCGAGTTTCCAAATGGTCAGTCCGCCCCTGGACAGAACCTTTTGGGTCGTGGAGGGTCAAGTGTTCAGTAGATGCCTTCATTGATCTGGAATAAGCATGCAGCCAGTAAAGGCAGCACTTATGGCCTGCATACCTGTTTCTGATTGGTGGCTTGAATGCATTGAAGCCCAGGGCCTGGCATGACAGCCAGTTGGCTGGCATTTTCAGAACAAAGTGGGCGACTTTCCCACATTCACCCGTAATATCTTCCGGACGATCTCTCCTAGTTGTTGATACCACTTCCATGTGATGACTGGCTACAAAGTATCAATAATCAGGCAAAAGGAGGAGCCTATTGGGTGTTGGATTAAATACATTTTCTGATTGGTGGCTGTTGATACCAGGGGCGGACTGACAACTCATGGGGCCCCCGGGCAATAGGGTATCATGGGGCCCCTGTGTCTTTGCCCAAACTCAAAAAAGCCTATGAAAAAAGGTACCAGGGGCATCTCATGGGGCCCCCTACTGACCCCCGGGCCCTCGGGCAGTGCCCGAGTTTGCAAATGGTCAGTCCGCCCCTGGTTGATACTTTGTATCCAAGAATTTGATGACTAGATACAAAGAATCAGTAGTTGGGAAAGGATGGGGGGTCTCAAGGAGGAGCCCAATGGGTATTGGATCAAATATATTCTCTGATTGGTGGCTGCTGATACTTTGTATCCAATTATTTGATGACTAGATACAAAGTATCGATAGTCATGGGGGCTTCCATAGGAGATCAAACGCAATTTCTGATTGGATCTGATGGGAGATTGGTTGGACGACTTTCGGGTGGTAACCAGGGCTGGATTTCCCAATAGAGAGAGAGGGTCTTTGGTGACCAGAGACCCCCTTACATCAGAGTTCCCCTTTAAGACACAGTCTATAGTGTCCCTCTTACATCAGAGGGGAACCCTGCAGATTCTGATGTAAAGGAGAACTCTGAGGACTCTGAGATGTAAGGGGAACTCTGGGGACTCTTGTGTCAAGAGGGTTCTGGTGACCAGAGACCCCCTTACATTAAAGTTCCCCTTTACATCAGAGTCCGCAGAGGTCCCCCTTGCACTGTAAAGGGGGAATCCTGCAGATTGATGAAAAGGAGAACTCTGAGTACTCTGATGTAAGGGGAACTCTGGTGACTCTTGTGTAAGGGGGAGTTCTGGTGGCCAGAGACCCCCTTATATTAAAGTTCCCCTTTACATCAGAGTCCGCAGAGGTCCCCTTGCACTGTAAGAATCCTGCAGATTCTGATGTAAAAGAGTACTCAGAGGACTGTGATCTTACTGGAGCCTCTAGTGTAAGAGGGGAACCCTGCAGATTCTGATGTAAAGGAGAACTGTCTGAGGACTCTGATGTAAGGGGAACTCTGGGGACTCTTGTGTCAGGGGGGTTCTGGTGACCAGAGACCCCCTTACATTAAAGTTCCCTTTACATCAGGGTCCGCAGAGGTCCCCCTTGCACTGTAAGGAGGAACCCTGAAGATTCTGATGAAAAGGAGAACTCTGAGTACTCTAATGTAAGGGGAACTCTGGTGACTTTTGTGTAAGGGGGAGTTCTGGTGCCAGAGACCCCCTTATATTAAAGTTCCCCTTTACATCAGAGTCCGCAGAGGTCCCCCTTGCACTGTAAGGGGGAATCCTGCAGATTCTGATGTAAAAGAGTACTCAGAGGACTGTGATGTAAGGGGAACTCTGGAGCCTCTAGTGTAAGGGGGAACCCTGAAGATTCTGATGAAAAGGAGAAATGTGAGCACTCTGATGTAAGGGGAACTCTGGGGACTCTTGTGTCAGGGGGGATCTGGTGACCAGAGACCACCTTACATCAAAGTTCCCCTTTACATCAGGGTCCGCAGAGGTCCCCCCTTGCACTGTAAGGAGGAACCCTGAAGATTCTGATGAAAAGGAGAACTCTGAGTACTCTAATATAAGGGGAACTCTGGGGTCTCTTGTGTAAGGGGGAGTTCTGGTGACCAGAGACTCCCTTATATTAAAGTTTCCCTTTACATCAGAGTCCGCAGAGGTCCCCCTTGCACTGTAAGGGGAATCCTGCAGATTTTGATGTAAAAGAGTACTCTGAGGACTGTGACGTAAGGGGAACTCTGGGTCACGGGCGGACTGACCATTCGAGCACTCGGGCACTGCCTGAGGGCCCGGGGTCAGTAGGGGGCCCCATAAAATTGTACCTTTTATAGGCTTTTTTGGGTGTGTTTTGAGTGTGGGCAAGGACACAGGGGCCCCATGATCCCCAATTGCCCAGGGGCCCCATGATTTCTCAGTCTGCCCCTGCTCTGGGGACTCTTGTGTCAGGGGATTTCTGGTGACCAGAGACCCCCTTACATCAGAGTTTTCCTTTACATCAGGACTGTAAGGGGGAACCCTGCAGACTCTGATGTAGGTAGGACTTGCTGGCCCTTGGTCTGTTTTCAACCTGACAACTCAAAACCAATTTTTAGGGTGATTACAAGTCCCAGCAAGCCGCCACAGCCAAAAAAGGGTTGGCTGCCTTCGTATCGTCCTGCGTCAGGGACAACAGAGTCGTAAACAGAGAAATGGAACCTCAGCTAAATGTCCCTAAGCCTGGTAAGTCCACTCCCAGGGACAAAATGGAAGGGGGGGGGGCAGGAACTTGCATTTCCTGCTGCAGCGTGAGATAAGGAAGGCGGTTTTGGGAACAGCACACATAGTCACACAGCTCCAACTGGAAGGTCACGAACTTCAACCTCAACCTTGTCCTCCCCCACCTCACCCCCAGCGCGACATGGGAATCCACGAAATAATGGTACGGCCCTACGACAATGGTCCTGGAACTGCCGCCACAAAGGGGTTAACACAAGTCCAGGAAAGTTTCCTTCCTGAAATCCTGATTATTTTCCTACGTTGACGGAACTTGGCGTCCCGGGAAGGGACCATCGGATGGTGGCCATCACCTAGGCAGCGAGGCAAAATTGCATGGCGGAAAGGGAAGGTTGGTCCACAAGGTGGTCCACACTCACCAGTTATCATCTGCTGTGCGTCGTACGGTTCCATGTAGCCATCGTTTTCTCCGACTCTCTCTCCGCGTCGCGTTGGACTTTGGTGCGCTTGGCGTCGTAAGGGTCCACGTAGTCCTCTATGATGATGATCTGGTGGAGAACAGAAAGGAGATCACAAGAGGCAAACTACATGGTTGAGTGAAAGGGTCAACGGCAGCCGCAGCAATTCCTCCCAAATTATGTTTTTCATGGTCTGACCACTAGGGGTGCTGCTCTATATATGGCTGCTGGCCCAGCGCTACATACAACACAAAGAGGTAAACGATTGTTCTAAGCATTGAAAACACGCCTAACAAAGACCATGAAGATGACCTCAACAGGTTCTCTTGCTCCTCAAACCTCATACTTACTTTTTCCTCTTTGATCCCTTTCTCGGGCTCTTGCCCCTAACCTGCTCGTTGACTTCTTGGAAATTCCTCCCATTCTTCTCCTGCAGGTTGGGATCCACCTTGATAAGGCGGTTGATATAGGTGTTTGTGGCCCTTGGTGGACCGAAAAGCGCCAATTTCGTCTCTGGAGTTTTTTCCGGCTCTTGCCGGCAGAAAGCTCTGGAGGCTTTCCCTGGAAAGGCGGCTCTCCTTTTTGCCCTGTCCATCCGATGAAGAGTTCTTGCGGTTCTTCACCGAGGAACCGGAGGAATCGGGGCTGGAGTTCTTATGAGAGGCACCAATCTTAGGGAGGGTCTTGGCCCCCGGGAACCCAGGTTTGGCCCTGTCTGAGACATTCTTCAGTGACAACGGGAGCTCCTTAAACCACTTGGCCATGACCGCAGCTGCCAGACAAAAGTAATGTTTCCACAAGGCCACGGGCCGCTGGGGCCCCAAGTCACTGATCAGCACTATCCAGGGTCCCCAGGTTCCAGTGACCGATCTCCTGCCTCTGTGGGCCCCACCCGCTGCCAGCGTCTCTTGATTTATTTTTTTGAGGTGGGGTCAGGAGCTCTCGAAGAAGGTGGCTGTCCCAGCCTGGTCGTCCAAACGAGGGGTAAACCCAGGATTTCCCTCACGGGGCGTATTTTGAGTTCTTGGTGGGTCTTTGGAGGATTTGGAAGGGTGTGGCAAGGCTTGCGGGCTCTCCGTTGGCTCTTGACCAAGGAGACCCAGCCAACGGTGACCCAGTGGTCTCCTGAGGTTCTGGCGATGGTCTTCAGCTACTCATGAGGTGCTCCTGCCTGGAGGTCAGAGGATTCCCTTCACAAGCCGTTCTCCAGCAGTCCCAGAAGACGGGTTGGAGAGTGAGTAGCAGGTCTCCAGGCTGTCAGCTTTGAGAGAGGCGAACAATAGCCGGACTGGCAGCTCAGAAAAACAGATATTTGTGTGATTACAGTTCACACTCAGCCAGGACTCTGCACAAAACAGGCTCTCTCCCAGGGGAAGGAAGTCCATTTCCTTGATGGTTCAATGGAAGGGGCGGACGCTTGTTTTTTTCTCTCTCTGGAAAAAGGCTGAAAAGTGCATCTCGTCAAATCTGTTTAGACTGCCCAGCTCCAATTCTGAGAATTCCATGGGGGCTCTCTCCTATGAAGTGGTGTCACGTCTGCCACGGGACAAGGACTGTCTCTTCTGGACAGCAAATACAGTCCAAGACCCTCTCATGACCAGAAAAAGAGGTCTCTCTGTTGTCTGTACAGAGTCCCACCATCAACACAAGTCTCTCTACCTTTCAATCACAATGTCCCACCGCCAGCAGGAGAGGTCTCTGTCTCTGTAGAGGGGAACAGTCCCACCGCCAGCAGGAGAGGTCTCTGCCTCTGTAAGGGGAACAGTCTCATTACCAGCAGGAGAGGTCTCTGCCTCTGTAGAGGGACAGTCTCATTACCAGCAGGTAGAGAGGTCTCTGCCTCTGTAGAGGGGAACAGTCCTATTACCAGCAGGAGAGGTCTCTGCCTCTGTAGAGGGGACAGTCTCATTACCAGCAGGAGAGGTCTCTGTCTCTGTAGAGGGGAACAGTCCCACCGCCAGCAGGAGAGGTCTCTGCCTCTGTAGAGGGGAATCTCTGCCTCTGTAGAGGGGAACAGTCTCATTCCCAGCCCAGCAGGAGAGGTCTCTGCCTCTGTAGAGGGGAACAGTCCCATTCCAGCAGGAGAGGTCTCTGCCTCTGTAGAGGGGAACAGTCCCATTACCAGCAGGAGAGGTCTCTGTCTCTGTAGAGGGAACAGTCCCATTACCAGCAGGAGAGGTCTCTGTCCTCTGTAGAGGGAACAGTCCCATTACCAGCAGGAGAGGTCTCTGTTCTCTGTAGAGGGGAACATCCCATTACCAGCAGGAGAGGTCTCTGTCTCTGTAGAGGGGAACAGTCCCATTACCAGCAGGAGAGGTCTCTGCCTCTGTAGAGGGGAACAGTCCCATTCCCAGCAGGAGAGGTCTCTGCCTCTGTAGAGGGGAACAGTCCCATTACCAGCAGGAGAGGTCTCTGTCTCTGTAGAGGGGAACAGTCTCATTACCAGCAGGAGAGGTCTCTGTCTCTGTAGAGGGACACAGTCCCATTACCAGCAGGAGAGGTCTCTGTCTCTGTAGAGGGGAACAGTCCCATTACCAGCAGGAGAGGTCTCTGCCTCTGTAGAGGGAACAGTCCCATTACCAGCAGGAGAGGTCTCTGCCTCTGTAGAGGGGAACAGTCCCATTACCAGCAGGAGAGGTCTCTGCCTCTGTAGAGGGAACAGTCCCATTACCAGCAGGAGAGGTCTCTGCCCTCTGTAGAGGGGAACAGTCCCATTTACCAGCAGGAGAGGTCTCTGTCTCTGTAGAGGGAACAGTCCCCATTACCAGCAGGAGAGGTCTCTGTCTCTGTAGAGGGGAACAGTCCCATTACCAGCAGGAGAGGTCTCTGCTCTGTAGAGGGGAACAGTCCCATTACCAGCAGGAGAGGTCTCTGTCTCTGTAGAGGGGAACAGTCCCATTACCAGCAGGAGAGGTCTCTGTCTCTGTAGAGGGGAACAGTCTCATTACCAGCAGGAGAGGTCTCTGTCTCCGTAGAGGGACACAGTCCCATTACCAGCAGGAGAGGTCTCTGTCTCTGTAGAGGGGAACAGTCCCATTACCAGCAGGAGAGGTCTCTGCCTCTGTAGAGGGGAACAGTCCCATTACCAGCAGGAGAGGTCTCTGCCTCTGTAGAGGGAACAGTCCCATTACCAGCAGGAGAGGTCTCTGTCTCTGTAGAGGGGAACAGTCCAATTACCAGCAGGAGAGGTCTCTGCCTCTGTAGAGGGGAACAGTCCCATTACCAGCAGGAGAGGTCTCTGTCTCTGTAGAGGGGAACAGTCCCTATTACCAGCAGGAGAGGTCTCTGCCTCTGTAGAGGGAACAGTCCCATTACCAGCAGGAGAGGTCTCTGCCTCTGTAGAGGGGAACAGTCCCATTACCAGCAGGAGAGGTCTCTGCCTCTGTAGAGGGGAACAGTCCCATTACCAGCAGGAGAGGTCTCTGTCTCTGTAGAGGGGAACAGTCCCATTACCAGCAGGAGAGGTCTCTGTCTCTGTAGAGGGGAACAGTCCCATTACCAGCAGGAGAGGTCTCTGCCTCTGTAGAGGGGAACAGTCCATTACCAGCAGGAGAGGTCTCTGCCTCTGTAGAGGGGACAGTCCTATTACCAGCAGGAGAGGTCTCTGTCTCTGTAGAGGGGAACAGTCCCATTACCAGCAGGAGAGGTCTCTGCCTCTGTAGAGGGGAACAGTCCCATTACCAGCAGGAGAGGTCTCTGCCTCTGTAGAGGGAACAGTCCCATTACCCAGCAGCAGGAGAGGTCTCTGCCTCTGTAGAGGGAACAGTCCCATTACCAGCAGGAGAGGTCTCTGTCTCTGTAGAGGGGACAGTCCCATTACCAGCAGGAGAGGTCTCTGCCTCTGTAGAGGGGAACAGTCCATTACCAGCAGGAGAGGTCTCTGCCTCTGTAGAGGGGACAGTCTCATTACCAGCAGGAGAGGTCTCTGCCTCTGTAGAGGGGAACAGTCCAATTACCAGCAGGAGAGGTCTCTGCCTCTGTAAAGGGGAACAGTCCAATTACCAGCAGGAGAGGTCTCTGCCTCTGTAAAGGGGAAACAGTCCAATTACCAGCAGGAGAGGTCTCTGCCTCTGTAGAGGGGACAGTCCCATCACCAGCAGGAGAGGTCTCTGTAGAGGGGACAGTCCCGCTACCAGCAGGAGAAGGTCTCTGTAGAGGGGACAGTCCGCTACCAGCAGAGAGGTCTCTGTCTGTCTATATAGATGGCGGTCTCATTACAGCAGCAGATGTCTTCTCCAGGAGATGAGACTACTACAGTATATAGAGAGCAAATGTATCCTGGGAGACGTCTCCCTCCCTGCACTGCTCTCTCCCCATTCTCCCCCTTCTATCCTCTCTACCTTTATGTTTCCCCAGTCTATTTCTCCACAGAAACGTTTATTACCTGGAGATGTCTTTGGATTTATTTTCTCTCTATCTACCCCCCCCCCCCCCCCTCGTATGTATATATTATTATCTCACTATTATCTCTCTCTCTAGTCTTTCTCTTTCTATAATATTTATCTTTCTCTCTCTTTCTCTTTCTTTCTTTTCTTTCTTCTCTTTCCTTTCCTTTCTCCCTCTATTCTTTTCCTTCTTTCTTTCTTTCTGCACTCTTTCTTTCTTTCTTTCTTCCTTTCCTTTCTCCCTCTATTCTTTCTTTCTTTCTTTTCTTTTCTTTCTTTCTTTCTTTCTTTCTTTCTTTCTTTTTTCTTTCTTCTCTTTCTTCTTTTCTTCTTTCTTCATACTTTCTCTTTTCTCTTTCTTTTCTTTCTTTTTCCTTTCTTTCTTTCTTTCTTTCTTTATTTCTTTCCTTTCCTTTCTCCCTCTATTCTTTCTTCTCTTTCTTTCTTTCTTTTTTTCTTTCTTTCTTTTCTTTCTTTCTCTTTCTTTCTTTCTTTCTTTCTTCTTCTTTTCCTTTCTCCCTCTATTCTTTCCTTCTTTCTCTCTCTTTCTTCTCTCTTCTTTCTTTCTTATCTTTTTCTTTCTTTCTTTCTTTTTCTTTCTGTTCTTTCTTTCTTTCTTTCTCTCTTTCTTTCTTTCTGTCTTTCTCTCTTTCTTTCTTTCTCTCTCTCTTTCTTTCTTTCTTTCTTTCCTTTCCCCTCTATTCTTTCTTTCTTTCTTTCT